TCTCTCTCTCTTACCTTTTTATGAATCTGACAGAATAATTTGGTAAAAGTGTATGCATAGCTATAAGTAGAAAATATATTAATAGTTTAATTTTTCCTACAAGATTAATTTTAGAATTTTTTTATATGCACATATTAGTAGGGACTTGCATGCATTGTTTTATTGATCCTCAATATTTATGATGAGTGACTTGAACTAAAAATGATAGTTAGAAAATAATGTTTTGTAAAGCATTCATATTGTTTTGAATGGAATGTATATTAATTTTAATTTTGCAGAATGTTACACTTAAAGAGTTAATGGAAGAAGATGATATTCTACAAGAATGCAAAGCCCAATCAAAGAAATTGATTGATTTGTAAGTATAATAAGTTTATTCAAAATAAATATCCAAGGTTTCCATACAGTTTCTTTGCTAGACAGCGTACTATTACATTTGGTATTTGTGCAAGATTATTTCTAGACATTATTAATAATTTTCAGCTAACATTAAGTAACGATAGGTGATAATTAAAACTGTTTCAGCAATATAGCTGTCATGTAGTTATTGTATTTGCTGTAGTAATTAAGAACCTAGGCAAAAGTAAGGGGGGTTTTGGTTACATGATTCATTCTACTTTTCTATATTGAACCCTCTCACTGTAGGTAAGTCAAAGTACACATGTCACGACTTTTTAGAAAGTTACATTTAAAATTGAATTAAACTGTTTTATTATTATTGTATACAAATAAAGTTTGCATCAAAACATAGTTAATAAATCCAGTTTCGATATTATTTAAGTTTTATATTTATAAGGAAATATTTTTAAAAATCCTCAATCTCCCCAAGTATGAGAATTGGCATTTATTCTCTAGGTCTTTCCTCTTCTCTAATTTATTTACCACCTTTCCGAGAAGTGTAAGTAGGTTAAGATGTACATATTACAACCTTTTACAGAGTTACATTCAAAAAAATTTAATTAAACTACTTTATTATTAATATATCCAAATAAACCTGACATGAAAATTAAGAAATCGGTTTTTAATATTATATTTTAATTTCTTAAAATATTAAAAGGAAATGTTTAACTAAATTTTCAATGTATGTGATATAAGACATTGTTTTCTTTGTGCATGTTATTGTTCTATGTTCTTACGTGCATTCTTTAAATAAAAAAGAGTTTTTAATTTACTACTACAACTGTTACAAAAAATCTAGGCTTAAATTTCATTGACGACCAACAGCAAAAAAATATGATGTGGAATGTAAATGATGTATTATCTTGTTTTTCATGTATATTTTTCATTTACTGTTATAAAAGTAACTATAGTGTAAAAATTGGAAACTTTTTAGTTTAGATCAGGTAAGATAATGAAAAATAATAATTCTCCAAGAGATATGCTCACGAGTAGTTTGTGCATTCACAGAGTGATTTACACTTGTATGGCGTGATTATTATTTAGACATTGTTCAAAAGGTAATGAAACAACAAAATTAAGTAGAAAGAGAACAAAACTGTTACAAATCTTAAGCTTTTTCAGATAAACAGTTGTATTTTTCTGTTACAGTATTGCAATCATTCTAGAAAGAAAAAAAAGATACTTTAAGTTTATTTCATATCTTTTTATGATGATTATAAGGTCAGTCCAATTGACCGAGTCTATATAAAGTTAGGGTAGAGAAAATAATAAGTAAAATATAAACTTTAACTGCAAAAAAAAAACATTTAATATTTATTTAGAATGTTTTAGAGATTACACAAATGAAAGTTGAAAATTTTCATATGAAAAATGGTATTTTTAATCTTACATGGAAAATTGCTGCACTTCAAGCAGTCAACACTTTAGTGAAAATACTTAATTAAAAATTTATTTTTGTGTAATAAAGACTTGTAATGTTTATAAAAGCTTGCCAAATTCCATAAAGATACATATACCATATTAAAAGTTATAGTATGGATATTATAATTTATTTGTGGTTAGAGATCAGGGTAATACATCAACCCCATATAAAACGAGTTAGTTGTCTGTCACGGTTAATAACATAAACCTACCATGATCTAGGAAATAAATGCAGTTAGTATTGGCTGAATTGTCTTTAAGTTTAATGGCAAAGGACCATTGTTTTCATCAGAATTTCTATAATTATAGTTGATTATACAGCATTTAAAATCAATATGCTCCTTCTCAGACTGAGAATTGTGTTGTAAAAGCATTTTCTTGATTCTTATATTTCTTTTAAGTACCTAGAAGAAATATTCAAGTCACTGTGGTTTATCTCAAAAGAATGATTTAACCCTTTCCAGACGTGTCGCAGGTGAAAGGCCATGTCATTGCGTTTGTTGACTCACATTAAAAATTTTATTGAAGTTCTATTTCATGATTTAATGTCAATAAGTTTGGTATCAAACTGTACATTATAATTCACATTTTAGAATTATACCTTATTCAATTTCTTAATTTAAAAATAATATTAATTTAATATTAAAAAAACACAGTTAAACATTGATTTCTGTGTGTCACGAGTTATGTTGAATGCAGCACTGGTTCAGATTAGATGTTTGTGATGTCAAAATATCAAGTCTATAGTTTCATACAAATTATGAATTCAACTTACCAATATTGACAAGCTAGAATATAAAATAAGAGCCCCTTATCTTTTCATTTTACTAAGATATTGCTCATCTAATAAATTAAACACTGCGACACCCCACCCACTTCTTTCTATTTTTGGAAACACTCCATTATATACACTTCTATATATGACAAGAATAATCAATCGGAAGCTCAGAATGTCTCCCTAGCGACTATCTAAGTCACTTTAACTTGTTTGGATGTCATATCTTTTATTCAAACCAAGATTTCAAGTAGGTCGGTTGTGTCTTTAGTGTGCTCAAAATTTCATATTTATTAGTTACTAAGCTTGATAAATTATAGTGGAATTCTATGGTATTGATATAGTAATTTATGATTTTTTTGGTTATTCAACTGTATATATATAAAACTTTAAAAAAATTATTTCATTTTATATACTCCACGTGCAAAATTTTAAAAGGCTTAGCAACCTATGTCAAGCAGCAACCAAGTATAAAGATCGTAACTAGAAGAGATAATTGTTTGCTTTACTTCTTTATTTACTGTTCTATGTTTTAAGAAAAATATCTTTAAGAACTTATTTCTGATTAGCAATAATCTATATAAATACATAATGTATAATAATTGAAATGTGACTGTATTTTACAAAATACTAGTCTACTAAAACACAACCAAGACAGGTCACTTTGTAAAGGCTAAAGATCAGTTATATATTATTGGATACGATAACATCAGTGCACATGTGCCGTGTCATTGTAACTTCTGTATTGTTAGCTAGGCATGGCTGAAAGGTCAATGTAATATAAATAATAAATATTTATAAATGTATAATGTTATGAGATTTAAGCTATTTAGTCTAAACATTTGTTTTTGTATTATAATTTGTCGTCATTCTAATATGAAAAAAGCATAATTTATATCTATTTCCTAATTTCTTTTATGGTGGTTATGAGATTGGTCAAATGTACTGATCCCGTACAGATATTCGTTACTAAAAATAACGGATAAAATATAAAGTTTTTTAAAGAAATATTTAATAACTATCTGGACATTATAAAGATTTTGCATGTGAAAATGAAAATTACTTTGCATGTTGGATAGGCAACATGTGAAAAGAAAAAAAAAGACATGAGAAAAACACTGCTTTACAAACCTCAAGACTTAATAATAAAAAATTGATATTTTGCATATGAAAACATTGTAGTGTAGCCAAATTTCATTAACATTTGTTTACTAATTTAAAAGTTATAGCATGAAAACTATAACAAGCACAAAATGGTTATGAGGTCAGTCCCAGGGACCAAGCTTAGACAAACCTTGCTTAACTCTTTCAGCTCGAGATAGCATTCAGCTCAGTAGTTCTTTTACTTTGCTAAGACAATCTGCTAGTTATATTTTGACCTACTTGTAGCGAACTTTTTCATCCACATCTTCAGGTGGCTCTTGAGTTATTAGATTGACCATATCTTCCAACACCTCAGATCGAATAAGGCTAAGAAAACAAAAAAAAACAAGTAAGCAAAATTTTTACAGTTTTTATGCCTAATATACTCCCCCTTCAATTGATACAGTGTACTGCATTAAGACCTTAAAATAAAGTTGAGTCATACATTTATTACTGTCATTAAATCCTGGGGGGGTAAAAGTTTCCCGATTGTGCCTTTCCACCTTGTCTACATATCCCTAAAAAACAAAATATAAAGTAAAAATGTTCTTCATTAAAATCCAGTTTTCCAGAGCATAAATATTTTAAAACTGCATTCAAATGCAAATCAATCTTGATCACGTTAAATTTCAAAATATACGTTTATGTCAACATTTAATTTTTTTGTGTGTTTCGTTTTTAATAATATAAATTGTTTTCAGTGCAAAGGGAACCTTATACTTGGATTGTTTACATCTTATAGGTATCCAAACATAGCTTGTGAATTGTTGACAGCAGATGTTCCTCAGATTAATGATGCTTTAGCCAGTAATGAACCATTATTAAATAAACTCTACTATTTTCTTGACACTGAAAAGCCATTAAACCCCCCTGCTGGCTAGTTTTTTTAGTAAAACAATGGGTCTTCTAATATCCAGAAAGACAGAACCGGTAAGTCATTTTACCATTTATATTTCATTTTCTGTCAGCGCTTATTAAATGCAGAATCAAAACCAGTAGTTTAAAACTGTAGATCATTGTTTCAGATGAGAAAAGAATGAATACAATGAACCAGGAAAAAATAGTAAATCATGCATATTTTGTAGGTATTTTTAAAGCTTTTGTATTCATAAAATTCTATCTTGACAAAGCAAGTGCAGTAATGGTAATTCAGCAAGGTTGTTGAGGGTATAATTTCAAAAATAAAACAGTTCTTCTTAATTTTATGCTCATCAATGCAGCATAAAGACGATATTAAAATCTGAAGTTATTTTGTTTAAATTTCTTTGATCTATAATGTACAAACCCTTTTGCTTGAAGCTTGTTTTTGTGAGAAGAGGCAGGTTTAATTTAATTATATAGTTTATTGATGTGAAGTGTTATTGTTTTGGAGATGTGAAATATAAAGCTTTTTTCATACTCTTTTAATAGATCTTTCTTTTAGTACTTTCACTGAATAAAACATTAATGGAACTTAAATTCAACTAGTTAATGAAACAAATGCGGGCCAGATTTTTTTTTTTTTTTTACCTGTTTACAAAGATCTGATTATTTACACTTTCACTCGGAAAAAACACAGTAGTTGGAATATTAAGTGAGAACAAAAAGATGTGCACGATTGAAATAAAGCAGCAACTAAATATTTTTATCTGGGCATTTGACTGTTTCCTCTGTTAACTTTCTTACATGATGGTTTTAAAATACAGAAGATTTTTATGATTTAAAGAAAACTATATATTTCCTCCTCTCTCTTCTAGACTGTGAGGTATTGTAAGATTTAAAAGTTTATCTGATGGCGACGGTAAATAATGGAAACATAAAACATTTTCACAACTATTTTACTCTTGAGAGAGAAGAGTTTTGAAGTATATGCTGTTTAGACAGTCATCACATTTATTCTCATTCATGGGTTCAAATTATAAAAATACCAAAATTACATGTATAAAACAAGTTTCATGAAGCTTCTTTCTTTTCCACATTGTAAAAGTATCAAGACTTTTTTCCTTTTTTTTGTATATATTTGTATCGGGATGTAATTTAGAATATTAACAGATGCAATGTTGTACAATTAATGTTTGAGTTTCAGTAGCATAACAGTTATTTTTCTTACCATTAATCCTTTAATTTCATGATCTTTGGCCAAGTTGAAACAAAATGGGCAAATTTATACTTCTGTGTTTTTAATAGACATGTGTTAAAACTAACAACTTATGAAATTTACAGGTTTTTGAATTTTTAAAGTCTAAGGAGGATTTTCTCACCCTGCTTTTAAACCATATTTCAACCTCAGCAATCATGGATCTTCTTCTTCGATTAATTACCTGTGTAGAAAATGCAATCGTTCGTCAAACAATATTGAAGGTAATTTTTCACATACTGGTTTTCCACATTTTTATGTTTAACTGTATATATAGTTAATAAAATTATCATTAGCTACTTAAGGAATTTTAACTGAATGTGCTAAAATGCTTAATATTTGAGAAATTTTTGTAGAACATTACAGAGGGCAGACTATGATTTATGTTGAAAAAAGTTTTTTTCTTTGCTGCTACTTTGACCTTTTATTTTTACAATAGTTATACCTTTTATCATAAAACAGTGGATATGCAAAATATATCTTTTAATTTCATGAAATAGTCTTACAAAATTAATTTTATACGGCCCTAATATAATCATAGCAAATAGTAATTAATTTAGGTTTTTTGATTTTATAGAAAATTGGAAATAAGAAAAGTATTGCATTACTATCTGCAATTTTAAAACCTGAAAATAAGTTTGCATTCAGATATGTAAGGAATTGTGCAGTTTTTGGGTGTTTTTTTTTTTCTTCTCAAATTGGTCAGAACAGTTTACGGAGGTCATTCTTTGGTAAAAATTATATTTACAGTTTTCATGTACTCCTTTTGAAAGCTGGTATTGACTGTGTTGCACAGCTTTTCTCATTCCTATTTGTTGCTCCTAACTACAGCTATAAACTAATAGCTTGCAGAAATTGCTTTTCGTAATATTCAAATTTATTATAAATAATGTGTCTGTGAAATATTTAACAGAAAAAATATTTTTTAATCTAGTCTAACAACAACTTGTTCTATAAATTCAAATTTCAGTGGCTTTGTGAAAAGAATTTAGTAGGGCGTCTTGTATCAATCATTGACCCTGCGTATAGTGAAGAAGAAAATAGTAATGCTGCTCAAGCTTTGAGTGATATTGTTAAGTATAGTCGTGAACAGTTGTCACTGTTGCAAGATAAAGCTGAACCAGATCCTCTGCTGGAGTCCATTGAATGGTAAGTTATTGCATTTATTCAGTCTGGCTTGTAGATTCTAGATATTTACCTTACAAGTGTGTGCGTGTTTGTTCAGGTGAAGGGGGTTATTTGTATAAGGTCTCATAATATTATTGGTTTTACCATAATCTTCGGTTGCTCATGAGTCTGTAATGTATCATATACTGTATGATGACTGAGTTCTAATAATTAGTTTCAAATTTTATTTTGCACCTGTGCATTTGCTACATAAGATAGTGAAACTAATTATAGTTTGAGCTTTTTTGTGCATATAATTAGATTTACATTAGGACTTTACAGGAAGTACTAGACAATGAACATCTTTTACATTTTTAAATACTATGACTAATTAGGTTTACATTATTTGTATTAGGTAGAATTAATGTATAAAAGAATTAGCCTTGTCCATGTTGCATAAAATACATTTGAAAAAAATAGTATTATAATTATAATGAGTTGCCTATTATATCAAAACTCAAAATTTTTCATCTCCTATTATTGGAGAATCTACCCTTGTACAGTTATATATTTATAAAGCAAACATTTGTTTTGAGACTCATTTCTTGCCACTATAGCATAATATTTACAAAATTTAGAGGAATGCGGGTAGTTAATTTGATTTGTTGTCATAGTGATTTTCCTAAATTATTTTGAATCTGTAAAAATTGAACAAAATTGGTTGTTGTGAAAACTTAGTTCTTGCCACCACCAAAGCCTTATAGTCTTAGAATTAAAAAAAAAGCCTGTCTCTGTTAAATAGAAATTTATGATGGTAACTAAGGTGATTTTATTATGAAAAATTGAGAATTTGACTACAATTTTTTTATTAAGTACAGTTGATAAAGATTTGTCTGTGAACTTATGAAGTCTATACTGTGTCAGTCTGAATGCAAAGTGATGTTCATGCTAAGAATAAAAATACTTTTTTTCATCTTGCAGTTTCTTCAAGTGTCTTGTCAACTTTTCTTTCAAGAATGACTGCACATTGTAACATCCAATTAAACACTGTTAATTTTTACAGCCAAAACTAATACTCTCTAATCTCCCAGTCATTTAGACAGCTACATATAGAATACGTTGAAAACAATTTATCTCAGCATGCATATTTGTGTAAACAAAGGATAGGGCTACCAGCATGCTTGGTCAAATTATGCCGTGCTCTTTCTTTCGCGAGTAATTTGTGATTTTATTTTTGTCATTATTTTTATGTTTAATTGCTTCTATAACAATAAGTAAAATATGTACATAAAAATAACAGAAATGTAGAACTTGTATGTGGGTCTTGCACAGAAGTTAACCCTACTTTTTGTTATGGTTGTTGGGAATACTTTATAAAATATTTAAATATATATATATATCAAATGTGCAATTTAGAAAACAAAATATTAACACAAAATACAACGTCCTAAAACTTGTAATTTAACAATCTTTCTAATTAAGCTTTTAGTGAGTTGAAATAATTCCATTATTTGGTCCAAGTGACTTCAGTGATAGCAACAATGAAACTGGGGCCAAATAATTCAAAAACTCTCATCAGAATAAGTTAGCCATATATGGAACTTAGTAAAGTAAAATCTTCTCTTTCTGTAGGTTATAAATAAGTTTCAGAGAGAATTTTTCACATTTTTGTAAGACAGGATGTGATAAGTGGGTGTGGCATGTGGGTTTTAACTTTCTGGTTTATATTTCAGTAAAGCGAGAAGATTAGAGACTACAAGTTTATATTATGTCTTAGCGATATCTGTACTATAAGTGTATAATTTATGCTAAGCTCAGAACACCGTATTGGGATAGAGAGGAAATCTAAAATGGTAATTTGGAGTGGAAAAGTGTCGTGTTATAGAGAAGTGAATATTGAGAATTTATTTACATTTTTTTTTAGAAATTAAAAATTAAACTTGTATTAAAATTGAATTAGAAACTATGGTTTGTTGCCAAGTTTATTGATGTATGTTATAATAAAGCTGTTTAATTAAATTTTGAACATAACTATAAAAGTTTCACAAGCACACTTGTCAGTCAAACAGACCAAGCACATTATACACAGGGCTAAAGGGAAATATCAGGTAGTGTGATAATATTCAGTAAATACAATTATAATTAACTGTAATAGTACCAAAGAGTACTTTTATATAACTGCTTCTGTATTTTTGGGTGAAACATTAGTGTAAATACTAAGATGATGATGTTAATTACTACACTTTCTGTTTTAAAGGAAAAAAAGTACTTATATATATTTAATTCATGTAGTATAAAATATGCAAGCTTGCATAGGATAATAAAACTCGTATCCTGCTCATCTGAGGATGAAATTTTTTATTGAAATTTAGGTATCTTTAGGTGGGAAAATGTGTATTATGTAGTTGTTTTTATTTTCTCCACCATTTTTTACTTTTATAAAATAGTGTTTGAAGCAACTAGACTTGTTTTATTAGACTTGATAGAAGTATTTATGACAGAAAAAAGATGTTTTTATGTTTTACTTCAGATGAGATAATTCTTGAATCTTAAAAATATTTTATGATTCTGCATTATAAAATACAAAAATTAAATTATTTTCATTGTTTCTCCCAAAGCTGTGAAACAATAGAGCATCTGTTGAAACACATGTTTGACAGAGAACGAAAAGAAAGTGTACTAGTCAGTGGTATTGGTGTGCTACTTTCTTTAGTAGAATTCAAAAAACCTGGGTAAGATGTCTTATAAGACAATTATCTTTTTAATTGTTTTTCTTTGCTTTAGCTTAAAAATTGGAAAGTTTGTATTGTGACCAGTGAAATTAAGAAATCCTGATGATTAACTTAAGCTTTTGGTAGTATGTCCAAATTTATATTTAGTTACCAAATGTAACATTGTCATACCTGAATATTTATGTGATATAAAACTTTTCTTGAATAAATAGATCCGTGATGGATTGTAGATTAACATAGATTATTGTTTGTTACAAAAAGTTTTTCATAAAACTTCATAAGTCTCGGTGCTTTGTGTTTGAAAAAAACTGACAGTCCACAGGATGTTAGCATTGTCCTGTTTTTATAATGGACTTTATGATACCATGGATAAAAATGGAGTTTGTGTAAGTCAAATCAACAAGCTTATGAAGAGACTAATCAAAGCATTGTGTATACCAAGGGTGGTTCTAGAAATAATAATGGGGGAGGGGGCTTACAGGACTATCCATTATGATAATTTCGAGAAAGATTCGATTGATGGATTAATTGCATGCAATGGGGTGACAAGTAGGATTTTTTTTTTCATGTTACCATAAAATTCTTGTCAGACTTCAGACAATCAATCAAACTACAGTTAGTTGATTTTATGAGCTATGACACTGCTTGCTTGTTTTTAGGATTTTTTGTTTTCTGTTGGAAGATATGGCATCCACAGTGATTTGGTGCCAACAAAAGCCCTACCTGACAGTATACTAAACTGGCTCAGGTGTTTGTGAGCAACGTACTGTGGTAAAAAATTCCTGTTAGAAACTTCAGGGATGGTAAATAATCAATTAAATTGCATTTCACTAAAACCTCTAGCCAATAGAAATTATTTTTTTTATTGTGGTGCTGCATTTAAATATCCATAATCAAAAATAATATTTACTCAAAACTACCTTATACTATGGCAATGAAGTATACATGCTAAATGTTTTGCAAGACTCAGAATGCTTACTTATCTAGAAGAAATAGATTAAATGTTTACTGAAGATTCTGACTGAATGCTAGTCAGTAATTGGTATCTTTAGTACGACAACTTTTTTTTCACACACACACATGAACTAGTGGAAAACCACTCTTCTCAAAGAATTTTATATAAAATCAAGACCATTCAGATGTTTTTGGATCTCAGTGTTTCTGCTGTCACTGGCATCTTAACCATTTTTAGTGTGACATCACTAAACTATTGTCAAGAAATTGATGTCGTGTTTTGGAACACTTTCATCAACCACCCCCCAAAAAAGTACATCACGTATAATAGTTAAACTAACTGCCTAAACGCCATGTTAGTGTAGCCTATATAATGTGTAGAGTTTAGACGTGACACACATTCGGCAAGTAATGCTGTTTGAATACAGAAAGGGAAACAACGCCTCTGTAGCCAAAGGATATTAAAGAAATTTATGGAAATGTTTTGAAGGTTCGTAAGTATCAATGATGGTTCAGCAAGTTTTTTTCAGGTGACTTTACTCTTAAAAACTGTGATGGCAGGGGCCAACATGTTTGAATTGATATTGATGCTCTGAAGACGCTTGTTGAGTAACCTAAGGCAACACACTCGTGAAATGGCCCTGAAATTGCATGTCTATCATGAAACAATACGTAAACATCTAAGAAATATAGGAAAACTCCATAAAGAAAATGTTTGGGTGCCTCACAAACTCTCTGGTGATCATTGTTTCCAACGTGTAAACGTTGCTTCGTCTCTTCTGGCGAGTAATGCGCATGAACCATTTTTGGTAAACATCTAAGAAATATAGGAAAACTCCATAAAGAAAATGTTTGGGTGCCTCACAAACTCTCTGGTGATCATTGTTTCCAACGTGTAAACGTTGCTTCGTCTCTTCTGGCGAGTAATGCGCATGAACCATTTTTGGGTAGAATTGTCACGGGATGAAAAATGGATTTTCTATGCAAATATTAAATGCCAAAAACAATGGCTCAGTCTTAGACAAAAAACACTTCCGACCCCTAAACCTGGGCTACATCTGAGAAAGTGATGCTTTGCATTTGGTGGGACATCAAAGGAGTAATTCATTGTTTTGACATATAAGTTGTTTGGGTTTTTTCATCTAGAAAAAGGGATATTAATTTCTTGGCAACCTAATACATTTATTATGGCATTTCTAAAGAAAATATATTTTTTGTAGATATTTAAACTTTTGGCATTCAGTCTACACATTTGTTGAGTTTACACTTAATCGTTTAGTGAAAATATTGGTTTCATAATAATTGTCAGACAGTTGGTTCTTTAGAAAGTATAGTACCTTATACTTCAGGTGGATATTTGCATTGATACAAAGATTAATGAAGTGATGTCTTTTGGCCCTCAAAAACAGAAGTCAAAGTCATAAAAGAAATCCAGTCATATTAATTGTTATCATTGTGCATGGTTGATTTGCTTATCTGCATCCCAAAGACATTACTCCATCAGCTCTCTGATTGCCCACTATACTCACTGAGTTTGAATTTTATTTTTCATGCTGGAAGCATAATTTGGAATTCTCTGACATTGGTTACTGGTGAAGACTTTAGAAGATACAAAAATGTTAAAAATTCCAAGAGAGGGAGAGAAAAAGGGGCTGTTTTTATTTTTCATTTGCTAGCCTGCAATCATGACTAACAATAAAGCTGTATGCAGTGACAGTGAAGATTAAGCACAAACAGATTCATTGATTGGCTGTCACCTCTTGGATGTGCCAGCTACCTAAATAAGCCATGCAGTGGGTTTAAAATAGTGGAATAGTTTAAAGCCCCCTTCCTCACATACTTATAGTGATACCATGAGTTCAGCAGAGTTGAGTCATGTTGTCATGTAAAGAAAATGTGACACAAGATTGATTACAATAAGTTCAATAAAATTGTATTGGTTTAATTTTTTCCAAAGCATGCAAAAGTAGCAAGTATAATGTAATGTATCGAAGGAGGTTGTAAAAAGTGGTTGTGAATTAGCATGAATAGGTACATGTTGCTTTAATTTATATAATTTTGTTTAACCTTTATCAATAAAGAGAACCTAATGGTTTGAATCGTTATGCTAAAAATATTTAAGAAGTTGTCTATTTAATTTGACTGTCTTGATAGGTATTATACTTCTGTTGTATTTTATGATCTAATTCTTTTCATAACTGTTAGAGGTTCATTTAATATTGTATTAAGGTGGATATAATAGTTTTGGCCTGCCATATTGTTCATATAAGTACATTGTATTTGATGTGTAAATGGAATACATTATAAAATATTTTTACTCTCTCAGACACATCTATTTCAATGAGTTAACTTATTTACTGTTGAGTGATTTTGAATGCATTTTTATTTTGTTACTTTGTACTGTTCCTTGAATAGGGTTTGAAATTAATGTTTTTGGATTATGAAATTGTCCTAGGCCTGGAGGTCTGCAGGGTGCTGGAGGCCAACCTGGTCAGTTTGTTCAGGGTGATCAGCAACAGTTGCAACGTATTGTCCCTATCTTTTTTCCCAATGAACTACCTGATCAAATGACTCAGCTGGATGCTGAGCGAATAAGCAAAGGTGTAAATAAAGTTCTTGCTGCCGTAGTTCCTCGTCTCTCAGATTTTCATAACCTACTTTTAAATCCTCCATCTGTAAGTAAAAAAAACATCAGAACCATTACAATTTTTGCACACACACATATATATATATATATATAGTATTTTATTTTTTAG